CCTCACGTTTAGTCTTCCGATTCCCTCCCCCGTCCCACCGTGGGGGAGTGAGTGAGCGGCTGCATTAGGCTTAGTTGCCGGCTGGGGCTAAACACGACAGGGATGAATTTCTATTACGCCAACTGCCACTGTAGCATCCACTCCCAGTGACTGCGGAACGGGCACAGAGGAAGGGGAGATGAGGATGAGCTTTTGCTGACAGCCCCTCTCTTCGTGCAGGAGGGACGGTGGAGCTGCTCCAGCTGCAGGGCTGTGGGCACCAGCACAGTCTCAGCTGCTTGGGGCAATCCAGGGTGCCCGAGGTTTTCTGCTCCCTGTACTTTGGCACAGAAAGGCACACAGCATGACCTTGGCACAGGACACGACATGAATGCCGAACACAGCATGAAAGGTGTGGGCATGCAGGCTATGGGATTTCCGTCCAGCCACTGTCTTCTGGTTCTGCAAATACACACAGAGCAAGAGCCATGTGGTACCCCTTTCCATGTGAGCACAGAAAGAAAGTCCTTCTCTATGTAATTTTATGTTTGTTTGTTTATAACATCAGAGAAAGGAAGAGGACAAGAAGGTGTTTTGCGAGCGGTGCCTGTACAGGCGCTAGGATAGCCTTTCAAATTGACAAAAATCAAGCTATTTCTGGGTTTAAATGAAGCACCAAGAGGCAAGCCACTCACCCTTCCTGAAGCAACCTCTCTCTTCTGAGAGGTGCTTTCCGAAGGCTGATCCTTCACAACTGGTGGTGCTAGGCTAGCAATTTCCATCCTTCTGAACTGTAAATACTGAAGGCCAAGTGCTGTTTTTCATATAAACACAACCCACGATGAAATCAGGAAAGTAACCCAGAGGGCAAAACATGAATGTGCACACTTACACCATTGATCTGGGCTTTATACCTTGCCTGGAACACAAGAGACACCCCTCTCCAGATCCCAACGAAGGCTGAATACACACTCATAATCTAACGGAGAGACAAACAGAGGATTTTAGGGCTGGATCTGAACAAGTTTTACTGAAATGGTATTTAAGGCATCCAAGTTATAACCTTTGCAATAATACAGTTCCTATTAAAGCAGGACCTTCTCACAAGCAACTTACCCACCTTTGTCCAAGTCTCGCTGATTACGTTCTGTGTTAAATCACTTTAAAAACATGGGTCAAAGTTGTTTCATAGCTTTACTCTCTCAGTAATGTGCAACATGAACATAATAGTGTTATTAAGAAGTCAAAAATAACTTAACACAATAGCTATATAAGATTCTCCAATGGTCAAACTTTCAGCAATTACTTTTTGTTAAGTTCAGAAAATTAGCATATTTGTTAATCAAATTAATTTAAAAAGTAGCTTTTCAAAATAAAAGCAATGCTTTAAATAAATATAGTCTTTTTTATAACCATAAAACACTTAGTCCTGTTAAAGGTAACAAATACTACACTCAAGCACAGTACTTAAACAATTGAAATGAATGTTGTGAGCATACAGGAGCTGGACACCGGGAGGGGCAAGGATGCATTGCTTCATGACATTCTCCGTCTCCTTTTTACAGCAGAACAAAGAGGCATCCAATTCTCAGAATTACCCTAAACATATGACGTGTCAGAATATTTGCAACTGCTGCACAAAACTGCTGGTACCCTGTTTTTTTCCCCTACACTACATTTGCAGCAGTTCTGCAGCCCTGCTTCGAATTTCTAGCACAGCATGATTCTGAACCACAACAAAATAAGGCCAAGTCCTGCTGACTTCAACACCTAAGGTGGCAAGCAAGATCTGACCTCTCACACCTCTTGCAGTAACGCTCACAGTTTGTGAAATCTGTAAAACCTTCCTTCCAATACTGGCACCACTGGGTGTTTCAGAACGGCCTGAAGCTCACCTTCAGAGTTCATAATCACCGAAGGATATTCACAGCCCTCCTCGTAACTATGGGGCTGACGAGCTATGTTCGTTACTACACAGGTTAATGCCTACCAGCAAAGACTGTAGCTGTCCTGTGGATCTACAAGGTAGCAATGATTTACTGGAATAAAATAAATCAGCTAGTTCTTACGTTAGTAGGTGCTATCTGGGTGTATCCTGAAGATCAGTTTGCTAAAATTCAGCAAAGTTTACACCTCAAATCTAATCATAATCTATCCAGCAACTCTGACCATTTAATATCTCATTTACTTGGCTTGAATTGTTCATTAAAAATCACATTCAGGATCTGCAGCAAACCACTGGTTTTGCCCTCACAAAAACAGCTGTTGGTGACATGTGTTGTATTTTGTTTGTTTGTTTAAACAGCATAACAGTAATGTAACCTGTAAGTTAGATGATAAAAGCTGGAGAGTAAAATAAAGCACAAAACTGATACAAGTCCTCTCTATTTGTTTTGATCTTCAGAATGAACAGGCCTATTCAAAGATGACAAAAGAATAAATTAGCAAATGGCTAATGTAATGCATGAAAGGGTGTCTACAGGATTTGCATGTGCGCACACACACACACGCACTTGCATACAGACAGCTTGGCTTCATTAGAAATCTCTCTACCAGAGTTCAACTTAGATAAATTAACTGCATTAAAATACTGACACTGTGAGGATTTTAATACTATCAATATTCCTGTGTGAATTTTTAAATGCTTTAAAAAAATAGTTTAGAGTTATTGAAATCTGTGACAAATGCAACAGCTCTGCCTCCCCTCACAGCCTCCCGTTCTCATCTCCGGTATCCTTCTCCTGTATTGCTTCCAGGCACCGTTTTGACTTGGCATCCGCGTGCCCACTTCCAGTTTTGCTCAGTCCACATGACAGGCATGCCAGCTGGATCTGCTTCATGTTCTCCAGGGCTTCGTTCTTGGCATTCTTCAGGAGATCTCCTTGGCCCTGAGGATGCACAGAGACACACGCAGGAGAAAGTCAGGGATTGCACACATTGCTTGGGACCGAAAGCTGCAATACTGCTCTTGTGTCTCTGCCTTATTGTTTAGTGCCATGGAACAGGATGCAGGTCCTGTCTCAAGTCCCCTGTGACCCCCGTGAACACCGGGGAGGGACTGAAGCCCCCTCTGCAGCCTGGCACCCAGCTCAGCAAGGAAGGCAGTGGCCAGCACAGTGGGCAGGGTGAGCAGGACAGGCACCAGACTCCCACCCCCTTCCAGTTCACGTCCTGGGAGGTAATTCGGGCCTGGCCCTGAGGAGCCCATCACTCCCAGGAGCCCAGCCCCAAAAGCATTTCTTCTTCCACAGTCAACAGCAAGGACCTGCCAGGGATGGGGCAGCGACAGCCCATGGTACCTCCCTCCCCATGCCACTGCTCTGTCCTCGCAGGAACACCCCTGACATCAGACCTCACATGGCAATGATGGCATGTCCCCAGCTGGGGGTCCCTTGCGAGCTCTGAGACCCTGGTTATCCACCCCTCCTTGCACCTGGATTTGCTTCCCAGCCCTGGGCCCTCCTTTAGCAGAGGCAGGCAAACTGCGGGCTTGTAAGAAGCGCAGCACCCTGTGGTGCCACACTGATCCCATCTGAACCATTTTGTTTGGCATCTTTGAGCAGGCGAATGGGAATGAGAGACTTCATGAGCAAAAGCCTGCTTCTGTATCTTCTCAAAGTGTGTAAAGGTGAGGTGACTAACAGGACATCAATCCAATTTGTAGCTATCAGGGAAAATGTGTTACATGAAATTTGTATTAAGAAGTTGGTGTTAAGAAATGCCAAAATGAATATTTATGCAATATTGGTATTTCAAGTGCCGTGAAGAAACAAGACTGTGGTGCTAGAAGATACAAATAAATAAAAGCCAGGAGATGCATCTAGTTATTAAAATTCAGTATCGCTAAGAACTTGAGCTGCTCTTCTCCTAATGTCACCCAAAAGTGCAGTGTAAAGTACACCACCCGCCGCAGCTGGTGATAGGCATATTCAGAAGGCATACCTCCGCTGACTGAAATGTCACATTCAACATCCCTGGAACCTAACCTGACCTCCCGTGAACCACAGATGCTTCGCAGGGTCTCAGAGGAGACAACAGATACTACAGCAGGACCTGGGGCACACTGGAGGGGCGATTGATCACCGACTCTCCTTCAGTTTTTAAAACAAACCAGACGTGTTGGACGAGTCATGGCACCTTCCAGCAGTGGGAGCATCTCTCTGCTCTCCCCTTCCCCAGAGCTAAGAGGAAGGGCTTATCCCACACCAATGAGCACAGTTCCCTCTTTACCAGTGCCTGGCACTGGACTGGCACCGCCTGAGCCCCCATAAACAATGTTCACAACGAAGACACAATGGTGGCTTGCAAGTCCGGCTGCACTGGTAAACACCACGTGGGAAACCACGTCAGCCAGGGATGGCAGCCCGCGCCCCAGAACGTGATTGTCTCA